CTATGTTTTCCAACCACGTAGCTATGAAAGTTTTCTGCCCTGTGACCAGGACTGTGACAGAGTTCATAAAAGTCTCACCACTCCTGTGCCTCTTTGCCGACACCGTCTCAAGAGAAATAACTCAGACAAGAATTGTTCCTAAGAGGAAAAGAAGAAAAGCCAAGGAGAATGAAGCTAAATTTATGTCTTTTGAAGATCTTTTCTCTTTAGCCAGGATCAAGGTGAATGATTACTCCCTTCAGCACCCTTCCTCTTCTAACCATTGTTATAATATCTTGTTGGGCAGACCTCTTGCATTTTTGTCTTCTTCTAGCTTCCAGAAGTTATATGGAATATAAAAAAAATTGCAGAACGACAGTGGTGACAAAGTCTAGGGTAAGCCAGAGAGATGACTTTGAAAGATTTGGGGAACATGTAGGGAAGTGTCAGTATTTTGAAGGAGAATTTCAGAAAGGAATGGAAGAATGGGCAGAGGGGTGGCATAAATCTGGAGAGATGTTGTTTGCTAGTGGTAACAAAATTCAACTAGTTCAGGTACTGAAACGTGAAATCCAAACTGAAACACATAGTTTCTTTCTGGGCAGCGTGCATGGGTGATTTCTTTCCCGGGTTCTTGTCCAGGTGAATTCAAAGAATGAAGCCACGGACAAAAGGTGGTATATGAAAAAGTGGAAATTTATTGGAAACAAGTACAGACTCCCACATGGGGAGGAGGTTCCAAAGGAGTAGCCCACTAAACCCCTCTTTCTAAGGTTTATATAGGGAGCAGTTCTTTGTGTCCTGATATTCCCCTCTGATTGGTCACTACAGCAGCTTCAAAACTCAAACCCCACGTACTCCTCCCCCCCTATTTTCTCCCCCTTCTGTGGTAAAATTCTCTATTTCCTGTGAAAATCTGTTTTCCTTTCTCCCTTTTGTTTCTCTACTCCCTGTGGCTTTCCCCTATCCTCTGTAAATGGATATATTTCTCTCCCTTTATTCGGTGGCTTTCCCCTTATCTTCTGTGAGTGGGTATATTCCTCTCCCCTTATCCTGTGGCATCTCTTTTCTCTCTGTGGATATATGCCTTTTGGCAGCTCCCAGCCCCCCAACTTTGCAGTTCTCCCCCATGGACCCTCTTTATTTCTAAAACTCCCTAAACCTATTTTACCCCTAAAAACTCCTTTCAGTACCAATAGGCAAGTCATTTTTTGTTCTTAAGGAAGGTTATAGCTTCCTAAGAGTATAAAATTTAACAAACTGTGGGCATTTTCCCATAAATGTCAAGGAATCTATTAGCCTGATAAAAAGATTCAATTTCTTTTACTATATTTAATTATCAAATTATGATTACTATGAAATAATCAATAATAGCTAACAATTTTTTAATAGTTGGGAGGGCTACATGTTATTTAAGTGTTTTTGCAAGTGTTAACAACAAATAGCACCAGATGTTAGATCTCAGTCCTTGAGTTTTAGCCAAGAAAGAATTCAAAGCCAAGACTCAAATGCAAGCAAAAGTTTATTTAGAAAGTCATAGAGATAGAAGAAGTGAGCCAGCTGGCTGCATGGGCTCAGGAAACAAGTTACAGAGGCAAAAGAAGGGCCCTTGGAGCTTAGGAGAAAGAAAACAAAGGTATGCAAAGGCACTCGGATGTGAGAGAGAGAGAGAGAGAGAGAGAGAGAGGAAAGAAAAAGAGAGAGAGACTGCACTGAGTCCTTCTCTTAAAGGGTTTTTATCTGGAGGTCTTAGGGGAAAGTTTCAATAGAATATTTATCAGCTTTCCAGGTGTGTTCTTTCTCTCCACTGATGGGTAGGCACCACGGCAGGGGTCCTTAGTCATGGCAGCTGGTCCTGAGGTCAGCCATGGCATCCCCCTGCCTGGCCTTCCTGCTTTTCTGGGCCTGAAACTGAAACACAATTGAGGCCTAAATGTTATCTCTAGTTTGACCAAAACTCTGTCTCTGTGGTCAACATGTTAGGTCAGAGAGAGCCCAGGATCGGACAAATGCAGACGTGTGATGAGATAATGGACTCTCCCTGGCATTTCTAACAGATCAGCGGGCCAGACACAGATACTGGCTTCTCCCTGAATCAACACGACCCCCACACAGATACTGACTCCTTCCTGAATAC